TTTTTTAAAATTGCAAGTTTACAGAATTCATGAATTGCGGTTTATTTCATCTTAGTATTCTTTTTGGCTAAATGTGATCATCTACTTGTGTTCCTGGTCTCACTTCTTGATATTGAGCATCTTGTTTCTTTTATTGTTAAAAAGAAAAAAAAAGGTCTCCGCTCAAGCGGACTGTTCCACACTCGAGTGTGTTTTTTAGCCTTGTAGCATTTTTGTCCTTGTTTTACAGTTCTGTGAGAGGTATTTTTGCGCTCAAGCTTCCTTATTCATGCTCGAGCAGATGTCAGCTTGCCTTGCCTCACGCTCGAGCGTTAATCCTTACGCTTGAGCGGACCTATTTTGTATAAAACTCCCTCCTCCGACTCTTCAGGTCATTGTTTTTCTCTCTTTTCCAATCTCTCTCCCTAGGGTTTGGATCGTGGTCTTTGTGGGTTGGATTTCGTCTTCCTTCTTCTTCTTCCTCGCCGATTCCACCTTGGTAAGTGTTTTTCCCTCACCTCCTCTGTTTTTTTCTGTAATTTCGGCTCTTATGGGGGTTGTATTTCGGGTTTTGGGGTTTTCTGTGTCTAGTTGTTTATTCCCTTCTCTCACACACTTTCACTGAGTCGTAATGGTTTTTTCATGGTGGATTTTATATTTTTTTATGTGTTTTGTTGTGTCATTAGATCTAGGGTTTATCATTGTTCTTTTTGTCTTCATGCTTTTGTTGGGTTTGGGTTCGAATGTGCTAGACTGTGGGTATCTACAAGTATTGCTATGGTGTCTCTTTGGTTTTGTTTTCCAAGGGTTTGGTTTCTCATCAGTGATCACTAGTGTTATTTGTTCTCCTACTTGGTGTTTGACATTGCTATTATGCCCTACAGGCTGAACTCTACATTAGTTATTGTGTATGTGAGTTGCATCATATTGTAAGTGTCATATTTGTTTTCATTATTCTCAATCTCATTGTTACTAATATTACTAATGTTTGCTTTGTTCTCTGTTCAGTTTGGTTTTTTTTTGGAATTGTTGGGTTTTTGGGTTTTAGTTGTGTCTCACATCATCATGTCTGCCTCTAAGCGCCGAAAGGCCACAGTGTCTCGTCCTGCTTTTAATACTGATAGGTTTCAGACTGCTAAACAAGCCAAATTGTTCCATAAATCTTTTGAGGCTCGAACTGTTCACCTAGAACGGAATGTCTAGCCTAACACTTTCGAGTCCATTCACATCCGTCCATTGTTTGACCCCCTTGGTGGTGACTTGGTGTTGTCTTTTTCTGGGCGTCAAAATCGCGACTGGGTTCGAGAAGTTTACTGCAATATTGAGCAAATTAGTGACATTGAGCCTTCATTCACTACTTGGGTTCGGTCAAAATCCATTTCTGTCACACCTGATCTCATTCGCAGGCTTCTTAAGTTTGATCAAGTGTTCCCTAAAATCCTTTTCCAGTTCTAGGCCGTCGTACCTGTGATTTTAATCATGTGGCTGAGGTGTTATGTGGTGCTTCCCATACTTGGCCTACAGGTGCATTGATTAAACAGTTTGAACTCCTTCCGGAGTTTAGACTGCTTAATCTTATTGTTTGTGCCAACATCCTTGTGACCACTCACTCATCCGAAATTAATCAAGACCAAGGATTTGTTTTGTCCTGTATTGCCCGTCACATGTCTATTGATCTAGCCACACTGATTATTAAGAAGATGATAGGTGTTTCTGGGAATAAACAGTTAGGACTTCCTTATGGTTGTATGATCAACCGTCTTTTGTCCGAGCTTAAGGTTCAAGTGTTAGAGGATGACGAGTTTGCCTTCCCCTCCCGACCATTCACAAAAAAAACTATTTCTCAGAGTCGTGCTCATGTTAAGGGGGAGTCTTCTCGGGCCGGTGCTTCTGCAGGTACCACTGCTGGTCTAGCTAAGGAGGCTGAGTTTGATGCTGTAGCCGCAGGGGGTAAGGAGGATGCTGTTCCACCTCGAGCTCTTCATGATTAACTTCAGCATTTTGAGGAGGCTATGACCCGGCGTTTAGACTTTCTAGATGCACGCTTTGATGCCTTTGATGGCCGCCTTGGTCAGTTGGAGCAGACTGCATTCCAGACTAACACACAGCTGGCGCACATTATTTCCTTACTTCAGATTCCGCAGCCTCCGCCCCCTGATGCATGATCTTTGTGTTTTCTTCTTTGTCTCCCGGCCAAAAAGGGGGAGAGTTTTTGGTGTACATATTTGGTGGTATATTTGGTATATTTGGTGGTATATTTGGTATATTTGGCTACTTTGTTGATATTTGGATATTTTGAATATTGTAGTTGGTGGTTAAGTTTGATTTGTTTGGATATTATTGTAGTCATTATGGATACTGTATCATGGTTATCTTTCTATGTATGTTTTGATATATTCTTATACAGTTTCACAAGTTTTGTTTTTCTGGTATGTTGCTAGCTATTTCCTAGGTGAATGTTAGATGAAGTTGGATGGATGGATTGATCACATGGCAAGATTGTTTGATAATAGAGTTATTTAGAGTCTTTTCTCTTTGTTATTAATCTTGTCTAGTGCGTGTGTTTAAGGATAATTGTTTAGAAAGGTTTTGTCCGGGAATTGACAAAGGGGGAGATTGTTAGGTCCCTTTATTGTCAAATTCAGGTACAAAACTTTGTGTTGAAAAAGTTGTAATTTTTTCTATGTTTTTGTCTTTCCCACTCGAGCGGGACCATTGGCACTCGAGCGGAGATTGGGGTCTCTCAGTATTTTGTCAGGTCTGTAAAAATACTGGAAGGTGTGATTTCGCGCTCGAGCGGGTTATCAAGCCCTTGAGTGGAACTCTGTTTTGTCACACGCATATTTTGCTGAAGCCGCTCGAGAGGGATGTTGGGCGCTCGAGCGGAGATCGCGGACTCAGGTTGCCTATGATTTCGCGCTCGAGCGGAACTCTGTTTTATCACATGCATGTTTTGTTGAATCCGCTCGAGCGGGATGTTGGGCACTCGAGCGGAGATTGCGGACTCAGGTTGCCTATTTATACCTGTTTAGGTTGTTTTTAGGTTTTACTTTTCCTAGATCTTATTCAAGAGTCCTAGGGTTTTGTTTGAAGTTTTCTTCTGAGGTTTTTGTGAGTTTTCCTTGACGTTTTTGAGAGAGTTCTAAACTTATGATTTGAGATTCATACATCAAGGAGTTTGTTACTTTATATTCAAGAGAGTTCTCTTCGGTGGATGCCGGAGATTCAAGCGTAAAGTTTCAAAAGGCGTTTGATTCTGTACGTAGTTGTTAATTCGACAAGTGAAGTTGTGGATTCAACATCAGGATTGATCAGTTCCGAGTCGAAGGCGTGGTGAAAGAGTTACAGAAGATTCGAAGACAAATTGACTATGGACCAGTCATTAATGTGAAAATGAGATCAAGCTCAACAAGATAACAAAAAAAAAAAAAAAAAAAATTTATTCAAAATACGTGGTAGTTTAGACACGTACAAGATGACAAATTAATTTGGTCCAATGCCAAAAATAAGGTTTAGCTAACACTTTTACAGATCAATAGCACAACCTTGAACCAAAGCGCATGTGTTTCTAAGATGTTTGTCAAACAATAAATTCATTCATCAATTCTAACTTTTGAGAAAAAAATCCAACACCACATGTTCTCCGATCCTTTTTTGCAGTGTTGCTTAGTGAACTACAGTACATTTAAATCAAGACGTAGAATCAATGTTGCACTCAAATATAACATGACCAGAAACATAGCAGCAAAGCAACAAAAGAAAAAATGTCATCTTCATATGGAAAATATATGTTATAATCATCTACAAAGGCACCTTAGGGAAAAAGATTACTGAAAAGGACTTACCTCCCTCGTTGCATCAATAGTTTTGCAAACAAATGTTGGACCAAATGCATATTCCATAGCACGCTGCAACACACATCAACTCTCTTTAAAAACAAAATATAACTAACCCAAGCCAAAGTTCTTTTATCCAACCAAAAACAAAAACGCACGAATGCTATAAGATTTTGCCCATCCATTGCTTATTATTCTTGGCCAGATAAACATGATTCAATGATATAAATGATATACCATTAAGAAAGGCATGTGCTAGAAACATTCCAGCGCACACAATTGCATATGGGCAAAACAACAAATGGTCTCCAGCAACACCAAACACCATCAATTCAATGAGCAACAAAAGGATAGAATAGCATAAAAAACATATGTGAATTTATACCTTCAGTTCTTGATCATATCCAACCAAAGACAGAGCCACTTCTGCATTCCCCTTGCCAACCTGAAAATGTAGGATAATAACCTTCTGACAAACACAAACAAATACGGGATATATAAAATACAAAGAAAGCCAAATACAAAGACAAACCAATCTAACAGAAGCATTTTGGGATTGAATTTGGTTTAGATGGATAACTGTGTAACTCTTCTTCGGAGATCACCATTTTGAAGAAGTTGCTTTCCAGTATTTTCTGTGTCTACTATAATATTAAACAATTTTCTCCTGCAGCATCCTAAAAATGAACTGAGTGTAAGAGTCCAGTTATGATTATGTTTAGAACATGTCAAAACTTGGCAACATATTATACCATTTCTAAAATAAACCAAGTATATGGCATCATGCAAGGCCAACCTCTAAGGCAGTCATTGTGAAGCCATCCTTCACTTTAATAAGTTTAGTAACCGCACCGTTAACCCTAGTCCTATCAAGATTCTTCATGGGATCATGGTATGTGAAATACATGCCAAAAGAATTCGAATTTCATCCATTAACTTCTGCACTAGCTCCAACTCAGCTGCACGATCCTGAAGAACAATTTAATAATTACAACTCACAATTTACAATACACAGAAGAATTTTGACCAAACTGAAAACTTATGCCATCTGAGGTAGAATTTGTAGCAGAACCACCATTGGAAGAGATACCTTTTGTAAGGCTTCCATCTGCCCCTCTTCATACAGAAGAGATTCCAAAGCCAATTTGACATTTTCCACATCTTTTGTTCTAGCATCAAGCTCATTTTCTACAACAACAGCTTCTTCACGTTTTGATAATAACTGATTTGCTTTCTCTTTCAGCTCTTTCTCAGAGTGGCTTATTTTTGTTTTCAGGAACTAGTTTGGGCTTGACACCAACTTTGTATTTTTCAATGGATAACAAACAAGTTATGATATTTCCTAAGAGTAATGCAGTTAACATCCCCACGTAGTTCATGTATTCACAACTTATAATTACTAAAATATTAAGTGTAGAACTCAAGCAAGCAAAATTATGTTGCCCATTGCGGAATGGGAAAGCAAAGGGTGTGAGGGTTACAGTCACTGATTCACGTATCAACAGGCCATCAAATAATGACAACTGCAAACTCTTGACCATTATGTTTATGCAGGATAAATGACAAAGTTAAGAGACACACTTGCACACACTTTCCAAGTCCGTTGATTGTCGGACCATACTGACCATTTGTATCATTATAAATGGAGATTGATTACGAACCTTTCAATATGGAAACACGTGTCTTCGCATTAGAAATTGGAAATTTATGACCAAGCCAATGAAATTCTGTCATAGATGCAGCCTGCTGAGATCTTGCCTCAGCCATAACAGCCTGCAAATCGAGATAAAGCGAGACACGAGATAAATGGCAAGTAATGTCACAAAAGTCTGGAAATTCTTTTCCAATTTTACAGATAAGAAGCAAATATAATCTAACCACTATTAAAAAGGAGATGACCATAAATAGATCAGGCTACAACATTATTCATAGCTTAACCTCTGAAACAACTAAACTTACCTCTAGTTTAGCTTTGAAAAGATCGAGTGCAGGTCCTTCCATTTCACCAATGTGCATGAGTTCAGAAGTTTGTAAATTTGACTCACCAAGTTTGTGTAGACAGTACCGTATACTTGGTTCTAGTTCCTCAACACGCTCACGGCACAAAACCTGATTCTCTAGGTCCCCATATTTCTCGAGTTCCTCATAAACAGCCCTATTAGATAATGAAGTTAGCTACCATCCAACAACGATACGACTAAAGGAGAGGAGAGAAATTCCTGATAGTAGAAACATTCTAGATAGCCAAATTAGAAAGGGAACAAAGATTTTGAAGAAGCCAAAAATGGAAAATGCACAAGGATATGCCAGTAAATTCAAAGAGCAAATTACTCCCAAAGAAGGCAGAAAGGAACCTTAATCAAAATTTCATACAGTGAGAGTTCATATCTAATAACCCACACCACTCTATGTAATAGATTCAACAAAAGAAAAATTCAAGGCCAAACCCATCTATCAAGCAAAGACACTGAAAATTAGAATAGAAAAGTAGGCATCTTTGGGAGTAATTTCATGGACTCCAAACTCCAATTACTTGAAGCCCAACAACACGACCTAGAAAAATTAGAATGAGGTGGAAATGTACCAAAAAATATGCACACACCCAAAAAACAAAAAAAAAAACAAAAAAATCAAATAAATGTAAGGAGAGAGGGATAGAACACAAAACCCTAAAAATTTAAAAATAAATAAAACAAATAAAAAAGGTGGCTAGAAAATTTTACTTGAAAGAAGTCCCTCAATCTCAAGAATATTCATTATGTTTCCAAAAAACAACAAAGCTATGGAAAATGGTAGCACACAGATGGCCAGAGAGAGAGAGAGAGAAAAAGAACATGAAGAAGAAGAAGAGCTAACTTGGTTCAGAGATTGAGACTGACTGAGAGAGTTGAAGAGAGACACATCGCACCGTCGTCACTGGCTCGCCGCCGTCGCACGCTGCTTGCCGTCGTCTGCCGCTGCTCGCCATCAAGAGAGAGAGGGAGAGAGAGAGTCGTAAGAAGAGATGGGGAAAGATTAGGGATTTTTGGTTCAATGGAGGAGAGAGAGAGAGAGAGAGAGTCGTAAGAAGAGTCTGCCGCTGCTCGCCGTCAAGAGAGAGAGGGAGAGAGAGAGTCGTAAGAAGAGATGGGGAAAGATTAGGGATTTTTGGTTCAATGGAGGAGAGAGAGAGAGAGAGAGAGTCGTAAGAAGAGATGGGGAAAGATTAGGGATTTTTGGTTCAAGGGGGGAAAGATTAGGGATTTTTGGTTAAGGGGGGGAAAAACGAGCGCCAAGGGGGAAAAAAATAGCTGAGCCCAGATTTTGGGGGTTCTTTTCTCGAGACGTCAAGTTTCATATCGTTGCAAAAATATCTTTATTTGTGACAGCAGGGGTTGCCGTCGCAAAAAACTTGAATTATTTGCGACTGCCGTTGTTGCCGTCGCAAAAACTTGTTCATTTGCAACAGGAAATGGTGTCGTCGCTGAAATCCAATTTATTGGCGACGACAAGTGGTGCCGTCGCAAAAACTCACTTTTTGCGACGGCAAATGATGCCGTCGCAAATGCTTCCGTGTTATATACCCTCTTTTCTTGTAGTGGTGTGTAAAATGCATCTTATATTATGTGGTGTTTTGAAAGTTGGAAAAAAATTGATTTTTTGTGGTCTTTTGGCTTTTTTTGTGTTAAAAAAGCTAACTTTTTATAACTTTTTTGTGACTTTTTTATGTAAAAAAGATAAAAAGCTAATTTTTTTGAAAAGTTTCCAATACACCCCTATATCCTGTCCTACCTTCATATCCATCCTTTTTATACGGCAAGCAACATGCCAAAGGTCTTACCATCCCTAACTCGCTTCCCATCTGTTAACCTCAATCTTCCCCCAGGTCTACACATCAAGGCCTTGTTTGTATTCAAAGGTAGAATGAAAGGGATTCATAGCGAGAGGATTAATAGTAAGGGGATTGTTAGTGAGGGGATTGATAGTGAGGGGATTAAGTAAAATTGTATTTGTTTTGATGATGGTTGTTAGTATAGGAATTATTAAATTATTTTTATATAAAATAATAAAACAAGTAAAAAAAATACAAAAAATAAAACATTAATGTTCAAAAAATAAAAATGCCCAACATGTAAAAAATAAAAAAAATTCCAGTCCCCTCACTATTTTTCTAATACCACCTCTATCTCCTCCATCCCAATCCCTCTTCCAACCTCCATTTTAATCTTCTCCTCCATCATAATCTCTTCCCCAACTCTACAAACAAACACAAAATGGATCCCACTTTCATCATAATCCCATTCCACCCTCTACCTCTCAAAACAAACGGGGCCCAATATCAATGTTCTAGCAAGACTCTTTGCTTGAGCTCCCTCCAAAAATAATTGCCAAATGTTTCAAATTTCAAAACCATCCCAACTAAAATTGCTAAAAGTTATGTTAGGAAATTCAAATAATTTATTGAGGTTATGTTTGGTTTGAATTTTTAATTAATTTTCTATTCTCATATTTGAATGCTATGTTTGGTTTTAGTTTTCAAAAATCAATTCCAATGCCACATTTAAATATACATTCCAATGCATGTTTTTTTTGAATTTTGAATTTGCAAATTAAGTCGTTCGTTTGGACATCCTACCGGACGTCCGGTCAGTTGACTAGAACAATTTTTTTTGTTTTTTTATTTTTGCGATTACAACCTATTATTTGAAAACAAAAAATGTATATTTGTTTTTGATATTTTTTAAATATACATATTATTATTTTTAGATCGTTGTGAAACAAAATAATTAAAAAAAAAAATCGAACCAAATACACAATCAAAAGTAATTTTAAAACACTAGTTGAATATTTTTTTTAATGTTTTAAATAAAAAATATTTTTAGATTTTTTTAAAAATGTTTTAAAAAAATTAATTTTTTCAATAATTTAAAAAAGAATTTGGTTATGAGTTTTGAATAAAATTTTTAATAGAGTTTTGAGTTGTGTGTTTGGTTATAAGTTATAAAATTTTCAATTAAGTTTTGAAAACTCTTTTAAAAACTCATAACCAAATAACTTTTCTCATTTCAAAACTATTTTGAAAACTCTTTTTAAAATTCATAACCAAACAAATTTTATCTTTTCAAATCATAATTCAAAATATAACTCCACACATAAATTATAATTCTAAAACTCGACAAAACGCTGCCCATATTTTATTACTAAACCTTTCACAAGAGTGTAAAATCTACACACATACGAGTTTATGCGAGTCACACACTAAATGAGAGATTTAATAGAAAATTTAGTCTTCGTTTGAAAAAAGCTAAAATTGTCTGGCTTTTTGGCTATTTTAGCCCTGTTTGGTTTTTGTTTTTGACTTTTTTGAGAAAAAAATATAATAATTATGATTTAAATGTGATATCTTATCTTATTAATTTATATAACTAATTTTATTTTTAGCATATTTTTTTAAATATAACTTTTAATAAATTATTTCAAATCTGTACAATTTTTCAATTGCTAAGACCATCTCCAACGGTTCATCAAACTTTGCATCAGATTTGAAATTTGGTGAAAAAGTCACTTTTTGGAGCTCCAATGGTTTCACTAAATTGGTATCAAAATGAGAATGGAACAAAAAATTCATTAAAGTGAGAATAGGCTCCAGATTTCACCATTTCACTGTGCGTTACCGTTGGGGTAGGCCAACCAGTCAACCAACCGGTTGACCCACCGGTCGACCGGTTCCCTTTCAAATAGGTAGGTTCAAACCGGTCAAAAAAGGTTCAAAGAGGTAAAAAAAAAAAAATTGCCCTTACTGGTCGATCGGCCGATCGACCCTTCCCTTTTGATGCACGGTTGGAACAAGCCATATTAGATTGAGAAAATTGACTTTTTTTTACTCAAATTTGGTGAAAAATTTGATTCACCGTTGAAAATGCTCTAATATAGATAACAGTTGGGACATCACTCCAGTTGGGACATCACTCTTTTCTAATCATTGAGAAACAATGGCTTTGTTTGGTTATGTTTTTGAAAACGTGATTCTATACCTACATTTAAATATGATGTTTTCAAAACTCTGTAGAGAACTCTAAAACAGGCGTGATTTTTGGAAATTTTTTTTTTGCAAATTTTGTCTAACCCGTCGTCCCACCGGTTGACCGGAATAGTTAATTTTTTTTTTAATTTTTTGTAATTGATATGTTAATTTTTATATATTCAAAAAAAAATATTTTATGTATTTTTTAAAATTTTTTAGGTGCTTTAAAATAATTTTGAGTTATATGTTCGGGTTATATGTTTGGTTATGAGTTATAAATTTTTATATCAAATATCAAATGTTACATCAACAATTTCTCACTCAATTTAAAATTATTTTCAAAACTATTTTCAAAACTCTTTACCAAACAAATTTTTCATACTTAAATCATAATTCTAAATCTCACAAACATAGATGCAAAGCTCTGCCAAACGCAACCAACAATTTCCACCAAAGAAGGCTCCATGATGAAACAGAGCATACCCAACAAGAAGAAGAAAAACTCCATCCCAAAAGAACTTCCATCCCAAATCATCCTCGAAATCCTCTCAAGACTCCCCATCAAAACCCTCTTCCTTTACCAACTCGTTTCCAAACACTGGCTTTCTCTCATCTCAGACCCTCACTTCGTCAATCTCCACCTCTCAAGATGACCAGTCAGCCTCTTGCTCAAACCCTTCTACCGCAACCGCGGATCGAACCAACTCCGCTTGGTTGACCTCCAAACCCTCCATAAAATCAGTCCCTTCGAAGCCCAATTGCAACTCAACCCCAGAATTAACTTCCCACTTCTTGGACACCAAATAGTTAACTCCTGCAATGGTTTGCTTTGCTTGTGCAATGATAACTCTGAAATTTTTGTATGCAATCCAATTCTGGGTGACTACATTACCTTACCAAGTCCAATATATGATCGAATTTACTATGATCGTACCATCAATGCTTTCGGTTTTCGTCCCAAGACTAACAAATACAAGGTGATACAGTTTGTTCTTCAACGGGTTGTCGAGTCTTTTGATCCCATTACTGAGTTTTGCACTTATCGTGATGAGGCAAAGGCTAAGATTTACACAATCGGTGAAGGGTTGTGGAGAAACATAGAGAGTGTTCCTTACTATTTGACAAATCACTCATTCAATTCTTTCGTGAATGGAGCCGTTCATTGGCTTAATTGTGCAGGTGATAGTCCCGACTTCATTTGTTGTTTTGATTTTGACAGCGAGCAATTTCGGGTTGTCCCTGAACCTCCTGAGTTTGGTCTGCATAAGGAGTTTCCTGATCATATTCGCCTGGGTGTGCTGCGAGATTGTCTCTCCATTTGTGATTTTTTTAGTCCTCTTCGTATTGATATATGGTTAATGAAAGATTATGGGATCAAGGAGTCTTGGAGCAAAGAGTTGGTAATTGAAAGTGGCATTGGTAAGAGCGGGAATTGGGGCTCTTATGAGCCAATTATGATGCTAAAGAGTGGGGAAATCTTGATGCTTGTTAACAAGGATGTTCTCATGTTGTATAATCCTAAGTTGGGTAGTTTTAAGAAGCTAAATATTTATGGGATCAAATCAGAATTTTATGGGATTGCTCATATCCCGAGCTTTGTTTCCCTCAAGGATGTTGCCTAAGGTGAAAGCTTGATGGTACATTTCTCTCTCTTTTTTGTTTTGTTTTGTGAAGGTAAATTTTTGAAATCAAAATTGTTGGAGTTTCTGTTACCAATGAAAGCTCTTGTATGTGTTATAATTGGAGAATGTTTGTGTTCTTTTTCAAATTTGTTTGTTATATATTTTTGTTGTTTATTATTTTAACTTTGTTGAAATTTTTGGATTCGTTTGGAAAGTGAGTTGGCTTTTTGATTTTTTAGTAATTTTAGCATGGAGCTAAAAAGTTTCATTTGAGAAGGGTTTTTTGGTTTTTTGTAAGAAAAATAATATAATAATTATGAATTAGATGTGATGTTTTATCTTATTAGATTAAAAAATTTATTTTATTTTTTTGTGACTATTTTAACCAAAAAAACCCAAATCTCAACTTCCCAAACGGAGCAAAATTGGCTAATGTGTTTTCTAAGATTTTGTATTACTTCCTAATGTCTTTTAATTCTGCATAAAAATGTTGGAGATATGACACAATTTTTTGAGGCCTAATGTGTGTTAAGTTTGAATTTTTTAGATTAAGTTTTTTGAAAATTGAATTTTTTATTTTTCGTGTTTTTTTCTTTTTAGTAAATATTTTTAAAATTTTAAGCTATTTTTTATTTTGTTTTTTTTAGATATGCTTTACTTAGATGTATTTAAAAAGTAAAAAATTTGATTTTTTATTTTGTTTTTTTTAGATATGCTTTACTTAGATGTATTTAAAAAGTAAAAAATTTGTGAAAAAATATTTTAAAAAATTAAAAATATGAAAAATATATTGAATTCTCATATTTTTTTTTTATTTTTGGTATAAATTGAATTTTTAAAAGATTTTTTTTCATAAAAATTATACTTTTTTATGTGAATTTATATTAGGTGTATCTAAAAATTTAAAAAATTGCTTAAAATATTATAAAAATCCAGTAAAAACAAAAAAAATGGAAAATAAGAAAATAAATTTTTTTGAAAAGTGTTTTTGAAAAACCAAAAACAAGCAAAGTGAATGCTTTTATATTATTTGTTGATGGATATGCTTTTGAAGAATTTGTGACAAATTGTTAGGATGGTGTCTTGAAGTTAAGTCTAAGAGGCCTTTTTGCAAGCAATAGAGAACACAAGCCTAATGTTTGAGGAAAGGCCAAATTAGATTCTTGCTTCTTGTTTTGTTACCTTTGCAGGAATCCAATGGTAATGCCCCCCAAC